AAATAAAAATTTTAGATATTGAAAAAATATAATATAATTTTGAGACATCTCAAAATAAAAAAAAGATAAAAAAATAAAAATGAAAAAGAGAAAGTATATAAAATTGAAGCAACTTATGTTCAAGTGAGCCTAAAATTGACAACAAGTCGAGTCAAAACGGGTTGTTACTCATCTCGAACTCGATTCGACTTTATATTTGTCAAATTCGAATTCAACTCGATCAAAATTTTTTTTTTTTTCTTATCTGAACTTGACCCAACATGAAATGAATAAAATATTATTTTTTAAATATAAAATAGTATTTTTTAAATATAAATATTTAAATATACAATTATATAAATATATATAAAAAAATAATTAATATAAAAAATTATTTTTATATAATATCAAATTGAGTCGAATCAAATTTATCTAAAATTTGAATGCGACTCGATCTCGACTTCTTTTTAACATTATCCGATTCAATCCAAAATTAAAATTTTTGAAAAATAAATCGATCTATAAAATCGAATCGAATCAAAATCTATCATAAACAAATTGGATTGTCCACCTTAAATGAGCCTTTTTGTTTCAATATAAAAAAGAAAAAGATGGTTTTCCAGGATTTTAAAAAAAAGCAACTAGGATAAGAATAAACGATGGTGATGATTATATAGATATAATATAAAAAATTATGTGTCTAAGCTATCTGCAAGCTGTGAACTTTTATCATTCAAAGAATTTAAGAAAGAAGATAAATATTTTAGATATTTTATTTAAAGTCTAATAAGAATAAGCAAGCAAGTTGATTGTGAAAACAATTCATTCAAAATTTCAAATTTATTTTTTTACAAATCTTGAAAATTAAAAGTTATAATAGTTTTGATTGAATTGATTCAATTTTTTAATATTACATAATATTATAAATTTTAAAATTTTAATCTAAATTTAAATTAATTTTTTATATAATTTGATCTGATTTAAATTAAATTTTATTGATTTAATTTAATTTATTGATTTTTGTAAAATTATTTTAATATATTCAAATAAATTTTCATACAAAATTTTTATTTTATTTTATAAAAATTTAAAAATATATAATTTAATTTTTATTTTTTAAAATTCAATCTAAATTTAATATTTATTTAATATTCAAATTTAATCTAAATCAAATAAAAAAATCAACATAAATTAAATCAAATATTACAATGTCAAATAATTTTTAATTTTTTCAACTTTTTTCACCTTTATTGGATACAAGATGAGAAAAAAAACATTTGAATCTTAAAAAAAAACCACATAAGACTAATAGAAAAACAAACAAAAGTAACAGTATTTGCAGCATCGTCGTCTAGGGATACGAACCCCTAACTCAAAACCTTGTCTTTAGCTCTCCACCATTTTCTCGTCGTAGCAGGTGGCCTGCTCTTTTCTTTGTCTTTTTGTATTTTTTGGCGCTTTGTTTCCATTTGTCTATTGTTCCTCATTTGCGGCATGAACCGCCTTTTTCACCGTTTCTTCTTTTTCTGATTCCATCTCACGCGTATGCCCCCCCCCCCCCCCTCCCTGCGTTCAATTAATTTTGTGGAAGTTTCGTATGCTCTTTCCGCGTTTCCCTTCCATTTTCGCCAATTTGACAAATATTAGTATAATTGTTTTTTTTCCCATATGAGATTCAACGCGGATTTACAATTTAAATTTTACGATATATAATTTTTTTAGAATAATATTACAAATTATTTTTAAATTTAATAAAATATTTAAATTAATATTTAAAATTTTAAATATAATATATAAATTATAATTTTATTAATTAATATAATATTTATTTATCACATATTATTTATAAAATTAATTACGTTAAAAATAAATATCATATTAAATATTTTATTATAATTTTAAAAAAATTTATAATATTAATTTTTTATTTTTTATTTTTATAATACAATTTTTTTATAAAAAATAATAGCATGCGATGAGAAACAAATAACTCGTTAATTAAATTGAAGATGTTATGAATGGCTAATGGAGGCCACTTATTGGAGAATCAAATGTCGACAGAGGGAAGCAGACCACTTTAAGAAAAATGTCATGATGTAATTTGTTTGGATCACCAAGTGACTAATTAAAGGTGATTTGAAAAGGAAAACCATAAAAGCTAAAGTTAAAAAAAGATCTATATTGTTTTCGAACACGTTTCTTTTTTCCCAAAGTCTTAAAAGATAGCACACGTTAATTATAGATTTTTTTTTTCTCTCTTACTATCATCAAGAAATTCAAAGATCATGAATATTTAGAATTATTCGTTTCTAGAAAAGTCATAAATTATTATATGTAAATTTAAAAAATATAAATTTTTATTGATATTGAATTTTTATAAAATTGTAGTGAAAATATACATTCATCGTATAATAATTAAGATAATAATTTTGAAGAAGCTAAGCCTAGCTAGTTAAATTTGGTGATTTAATTTTGCTTGGAAAAAATAATTACAGTGAAGCAAACAAAGTGTGAGGTCGGCAGCAGAGTTCCACCCAGCCAGCCAGCCAAACAGGAAGAAGACTGCGCCTTCTGCCCTTCTGCATCTCCGTATCACAAATTTACCGACATGTGTTTCGTGCTGGATTTTCTTAATTTGCATGAAGATCCTCAAGATTTTACAAATTTGTAAATTCACGGTCAAGAAAACAGCTGTCTGAATTGTTCGATGAAAAAAAAAAAAAAAAGAAAAAGAGAATAAATGGCAGCCGTAATTCAAAGAAAAGTTGGTGCGAATCAACAAGATACTTAGTCTCGTCAAATTTGGTGAAACAAACTCATTCTCCAACATTAGGTAAACATTTTGAAGTTAGAACATTGGGTGCTTTGGAAAAAGAAATAAAAATATTTAGAATTGTGGCGGACTTAAATATTATTTTTTTAATGTTTACTTATAACATATAACAAATTATTTATAAATTTATTAATTTTATCGATAAAAAATTTTGAGAAAAAATTTTGAAATGCTTAAATTTTTTTATTTTTTTTACTTTTTTTATTAAAAATTTTAAAAATAAAAAAATTATTTTATTTTTAAAATCAGGATAAATCATCAATTCAATTAAAATTTACAAATTTATTAAATTTTTACTTATAAATTTTTTGAATTTATAAATTACCTACCAATGAAGAATCGTGAAAGATTTGAAGTTGAATATTACTGCATTCAACATTCGTTTTTTACCATTTCGTTGATACTTTTAAAAAATATTCACAGACACTCTATTTCATAGTTTGAATCTTGGTATGATTTAGGGTCAGATGTGAATCACGGAGAAACCCATTTCATTATATATTTTTTTCTCCAAAAGCTTCTTAAATAATTATCGTCGAACTAGTAATTTTCCTCTGACTTGCGGGAATTTGTATGGTTTTGACTAGCGAGATTTACCTGCCCTTAGACCAGAGGAAGGGGGAAACAAAACAAGGGAAAAGGCAAGTTTTGCAATTGCTGCAATGCCCTTTGACTAGCAGATGACAGCATATTCCTTCATATGCTTTTATTTGATTAATTGTTGTTTGATTTGTTGTTCTCTAACTCCACTGCTACTAATAATAATTGTAATAAATAATGGACTTAATAACATTAAACCAAAAAATAAATACAATGGGAATATTATAAAACTTAATGAATGTCCTCTATCCTATTTTTTTATAACTATATCCTATATTTATAGTTTGTTTTATAATGTATTTTTCTAATTATTAAAAAAATAAAACTACCGTACATATATTATTTGCAAAACAGATTATAGTTTAAGAATAAAAAATATTTATAAATATTAAAACTTAAATTTTACACATGTAAGATATTATTTCTTAGATTGCGAAATATATTAAAAATTAGTACAAACAAAAACAATATAACAAATTAAAGTATAAATCAATCAAAATCTTAAATATCAATCTAAGAATTAAAATTATACTTTTCTCTTGTTTTTAATCTCGAATATACAATCTTTCGAAAATTTTTATGAGGTGATTACTCAAGATATTTTTTGATAAAAATACCTTAAATAATAAAAAAAATTTAATACGGTCATTGAAGAGATTTTTGGTTAAAAACGTCTTTAATAATTTCGTCATAAATTTTTATAACGTGATTACTCAAGATGTTTTTCGTTAAAATATCTTGAATAATCTTAAAAAATTTTTTTAATGGGTTTATTGAAAGTATTTATGGTCAAAAATACCTTTAATAATCCTCACATAAATTTTTATGAGATGATTATTTAAGGTATTTTTGGATAAAAATGACTTGAATAATCTAAAAAAAATTTTTAATGAGGTTATTGAAAGCGTTTTTGATAAAAAATGTATTTAACAATCTCTCAATAAATTTTTATGAGATGGTTACTCAATGTATTTTTGGACAAAAATATTTTAAATAATGAAAAATTTTTAATGAGGTTAATAAAAGTATTTATAGCAAAAAATATTTTTAATAATCTTTTTATAAAATTTTATGACGTGATTACTCAATACATTTTTATTCAAAAATACTTTAAATAATAAAATAAATAAAATTATTAAAAATATTTTTGATAAAAATAACTTTAATAATACTTTTAATATTTATTATTTTAAAGAGACTATAGTAATTATTTAAAATTTAATATATGCCTATCAAACTAATAAATTTAAAAACAAAATATTCTGAAAATAAAAAAAAGTTTTGAATATCATATTTTCTTGAAAATCTTTTTTTTTTTTTTTGAAATTTACGATTCTGCGAAAGAAACTCTCCTAGTACAATTACAAAAGATTAAGTAAATTGTTTACTCTGCTTAAAAAAAGTAACTTATTTACTTATTATTTTTTTAAAAGTAACTTATTTACTTTAGATTTGTTTACCAAAGTAGGATATTCGAATATGATTGCAAATGCCCGTATTTGTAATATCAATGCACGAACAAGGGCATAAAAGTAAACTAATTCGATTCCATAGTTTCCTCCGCAAGAAATATAAAGTGCCCCTCCAAGTCACCAACCCATTATAAACCCTTTCGCTACCCATCAGCCGAAACCTAAATTAAAAAAAAAAGCACTCTGTGAAATTTTCATTTCTCGGTTTACCCACCAATCTCTGGAAATCTTTTCACTCAAGTACCTCACTCTGATCAAGCAACCATGTGTGGAGGTGCGATTATCTCTGAATTCATCCCCCCGACGCGGTCGCGACGCCTGACTGCTGATTATTTGTGGCCCGATCTGAAAAAATCGGGGTCGATAAAGGGTTCGGGTAAAAGGTACTCGAAGCCGGTGATCGATTTGGACGATGACTTCGAGGCTGACTTTCAGGAGTTTAAGGATGAGGAATTCGATGTCGATGACTTCGATGATGTTGATGATGTTTTTTCTGATGTTAAGCCTTTTGCTTTCTCTGCTACAAAGAAACCATCTTCTGCTGTCTCTCATGGTAAGTAATAATAATTTCCTCCCTTTTGCAAAAAGGCTTTTTTTTTTTTTGCCAAAATTAGTCCTTTTGCTTTATTGTAAATTTTCCACTTTATTAGAGGAAAATTTTGAAGGTTTAATTGGGCTATTTGATTATTAAACTAGGCCTTGTGAATGCAATTGTTATTAGTTTCAGTCAAAGTTTTATAAATTTTTCCAAAGGGTCCTTTTTTTTTTTTCAAAAAATGATTCTTTTTCAGTTGTTGGTAGATTGTCTCATTCTACATATATAAGCTTTTGCATTATATTTCCCTTATTCCTGCTCTATTTCTATGATATATATATTGTATAAAGTTAATTATTTTCCTTTTCCTTAAGGATTTGCTTGTTAGCTGAAAAATGGCTGAAAAAAACCAAATACTAGAAGTAAGATCATAAAATCTTAGCAATTTAAACTTCCTTCAACTTGAATAAGTAAAGATCTGTAATAATAGTGGTCTTTTTAATAAGCACACACGACCTGATTTTGTAGTTTGACTCCTCAGATTAATATTTTCCCCTCATAATTCTTGGTGTTTTGGTTCTTTGGAATCTTGCTCACTTTTTGGTGCATCAGTGTATTGTTTATGTTAGGTCTTTTTTTCATCTTTCCTAGAGGAGTTAAAGAGGAACTGTAATTTATGTTGTTTAACCATTAGAAAATTTTTTCATAGTAGAATTTTAGGAAAGAGTCTTTTTTGGATCTTTTCTGTTCTTTATCTACAAATTTGTTGAAAATAAATTTTAATTTATATTAAAAAAGGTATTTAAGTATGATCTCTCTTATTGTTTCAGTCTCTGACCGATCTATGTGGCTCTTATTTTTCTACTTTCCTTTTGTCTATTGGTGTTTGATATCTTAATATGTAAGATGGTCATGTTTCCTACGTCCAAAACGAGAAATCAAAGGTTTTTTTTTTTTTTTAATTAATTTGGAGGAAATGGAGTTGAGAATTAATACCTCAACTAATAATTTTCTGGATAATATTTACTAATATGTTCTTGTGATTTTCTTGCATGAAGGTCCTAAATTCTGTTGGCTGTTGAAAGTTATGTAACGATTTATAGTATTTCATTGATTATAATATTTATTTATGGTTCATGCATCTGTATGTAATTAAAATTTTCTTTTCAATTATTGAAGGTTCAAACTTTGTAAAATCTGTGGAATTCAATGGTCAAGCTGAGAAATCTGCAAAAAGAAAGAGGAAAAATCAGTATCGCGGAATTCGACAGCGCCCTTGGGGGAAATGGGCTGCTGAGATCCGAGATCCAAGGAAAGGGGTTAGGGTCTGGCTAGGAACTTTCAATACTGCTGAAGAAGCTGCGAGAGCTTATGATAGTGAGGCACGGAGAATTCGGGGTGAGAAAGCAAAGGTGAACTTCCCTGACGACACTTCAGGTACCTCTCCAAAGCGTGCAGTTAAGGCAAATTCTCAGAAACCACTTTCAAGGTCAAATTTGAGTCCCGTTCAACCAAATCCCAACCAGAATTTCAATTACTTGAACAAACCAGAGCAGAACTACTATGATACCCTGGGATTCGTAGAGGAGAAGCCATCAAAGGATCAGTTTGCATATGTGGACCCTATTCCTGCTGCTGTAGATGTTGGATTGAAACCCTTTACCCAATCTGACAATGCTCCGTTGTTTTTTAATTCAGACCAGGGAAGTAACGACATTGACTGTTCTGACTTTGGCTGGGGAGTACAGGGTGCCAATACTCCTGAAATATCATCTGTTCTTGAAGCTTCTATAAACGGTGATGAGTTTCTGGAGGATGCGAACCCTAAGAAGTTGAAACCAGGTTCTGACAAAGTTATGCCTACTGGAGACAATGCTGCAAAGAGTTTGTCTGATGAGCTATTGGCTTTGGACAATGAGACGAAGGACTTTCAAATGCCATTTATTGACGGGGACTGGGATGCCTCACTTGATGCCTTCCTCAATGGAGTTGCAACTCAGGATAGTGGAAACCAAATGGATCTTTGGAGCTTTGTCGACTTCCCTTCAATGGCTGGGGGTGTTTTCTGAGCAAACTACCCTACTGACTAGTTTTTGTAAATAAGGCAACATGTTAGTGACTTTCACCCCCGCTGGCATCTGCTTTATTATTTCAATTGTGATATCTCCAACATTATTTCTTTTTCTTTTGGGACAAATGATCAGTTATTTATAACCTTCTTTTTTCTTGTTTAATGCTCTCAGGAATTGGTCAATCTGTTGTGTAGTCGGAGTTAAACAGCTATACATGCATAAGCCTTGTCTGCAGTGTTTTCAGAGGCATTTAGTATGTTCCCTTTTTTCTTTTAGACATTGGACTTCGAATTTAAATTTGAGTGAAGACTATCAGTGATCTCGAGTGATTTATGATGAAATATTGAACGCAGATGAATGTTTAACCTTGCTATTTGATTCGCCCATACTCCCTTACTGTTTTTTTTCTCCAGGAGTTCCATAATTTTGATTTTTTTTAATAAATAATATCCCATTTTTCCAAGGAGAGGCCACTGCTGTCTTACGATATTTGCAATACATTGCTTCGAGCTCGTTCTTATACCAAAGATGACCTCGGTGATATTAAAAAACTAGTACTAAGGGAGAATAGAGAACATTCGTGTGAAGTGGCCACGTGAAGAGAGATGCCTGGCAGTGAAATGGTGCAGCATGAGAGATTTGGAAAAAGAAAATTTACCGGTCTTTTGCTCTTTCCCATGTGATTGTGAGGAGCATGGTGACTTTATTTTCTTCATGATTACATGGAACGCGTCGATGTCGTCACCTCTGTCATGGGATTTGTTTGGTAGCTGAAGGTCAAGGGATCTGTGGTGGACTCTATCATTTAGGCGAGGGTGGGGTCAGGTGTGGTGGTGTACTGTGTCCCCTTATCATAGGTTTTTAGAGGGTGCCACCCTAGAAAGATGTGGGGTCAGGTGTGGTGGTGGTGTACTGTGCCCGTTATCATAGGTTTTTAGATGGTGGCAACCCTAGAAAGATGTGCCCCTCCTTGCCTTCCCAGCAAGAATAATTTGTTAAAAAAATGTGAGAGAAAGGACATAAAAATATGAGAGAAAGGACATGCAAGTAGCTTTCAAGGGGTCTCGTGACTGTCGATAACATTTGCTGCAAAAGCAACGCGACCACATCATCAGCAGTCAGCACCAGGGCTTTTTTACCATACTAATCAGTGACCACAAAACGAAAACCAATAATCACGTGTATTTTGGGGCCAAGTTCTAGAGCCTAAGGGTATACCTGTATGTCATTTCTGCTCCTAAGACTTCCCAATTATTCGGTCAGATTATTACTTTCCGGATCTCCTCCTGCCCGGACTTGGGGAATACCCCACCACACCAGGGATACCCACCACACCAGGGATGATTTGATCTGATGCCAATTGCTCTGGTCCTTCCCAATGGAAAGCCAAAGAGATTAATCATAGATCAGATCTTCCCACATCAACAAGAAAACTAGAGTCTGGTTAGAATACTCGTTTTAAGTAAATTCAACAGCAATTAATCACTTATTTCTTTAAATATGTGGAGTTTTCAAATGTGTAAAGTTCAAAAAGTATCTCAGGCTTTCAACAATTGAGGCTTTATTGAATTTACATTTTCAACCGTGCACGATTATCTTATCTCAATTTGGCAACTGGAAATTTGTTTGCTTTTTTATCTAATTATTGAGTTTAATGAACGAAACTTCATTAAAAGCATATACCTAAGATTAATCTATAGTTTTTATGTCATTTCTTTCTATTCAATCGAACCTAAAATCTATTCCAGGCTTTCGATTCCGGTTAAGAAAGGAAAATAGAAAGCTACAGTTAAAAGGATAACATCAAATTCCTTCTTAATCTACATGTAGCAACAATAAACTAACGATTAAATTACTACTTAGGAACTGTTTGATTAGGGTTTATCATGAATCCACCAATGCAAGATTCGGGTTGTTTATGTTTCCTGCAGCAAAATTAAGTAGGATCATTTTCTCAGGAGATGCTGTTTCTTTCTGTCTGTTTATCTTCTCGTCATAGTTGCCACCGGATTGATCGTTGTTTTCTTTTTGAAGTCTCAAAGGCCGGTATTTGCCATTCAAACCATAAGATTAGATGCATACCAGTTGAATGTTTATTCCAATTCAATACTGTTTGTTTCATCTGTTGCATCTTTGATCCTAAATGCCAGCAATCCTAACAAAACTGGCCTAAGATACAGCTGGCTTCAACTTTACTTGGAAGGACTTCCAATAGCAGTTATTCGAGTTTCCGAGTTCTTTCAACCTGCTCGTAGTAACAATGTCAGTTTGAGAGCAAGGGTTTTGATTCCTTGTGTGAATGGTTTAGCCAAGTCATGGGTGGGGTTTGGCTGCAAGATCAGTAGAGGAAGAGTATTGTTCCAATGAAACTATCAGGCGATATTAAAGTGAACCTCCATTTTTTACACATAACCCTGCCAAAGATTAAGGTTTGTACTTAGTGTACTCTCCCATTCACCTAGATGAAGATTTAAGCTTTCAAGTTTCAAAGCATCAAAATTAATGACATAAAAATTATTCGTGAACCAAAAGCCTTTTTTTCCCTTAATTCATAATATAATTATTTAGCATCTGACACAATAAGTGCTTTGCCTTATTTTCTCAACATGAATTTAGGGACATACAATTTTTTTATACTTAAAAGTATTAGGATTGAATCGTGATGATCATTAAAACAATAGATTACACGGCTGTTGAACAGTGTAATTTTGATATGAAATTAATCGCAGTGATTCTTACCTTGCAGGTTGCCCTATATTATGACATAAATTAGGCATATTGGGAATTGACATTCTCAAAATGAAGCTTACGGCAACAAAGCAACTTAAAATCTCATTGTAAGCGATCATTTCACATCTCAAATATTTGCCCCATTTTCCCATCATTAATCATCATGCATGCTTTTATGTATGCTTTCTTTTATTCATTTCTAAATTACTTGAATTTCCAGGCATCTTTTTCAAATGATTCCAAATCCTTCGTCAAGAAAGGTGCCTTGGCTATCTACATGAAGAAAAAAAAAAAAAAAGAGGGAAATTTTCCTGATAAGAAAGTTTGGTTTTTCTGATGCTACAAGATTTGTGTTGATGGGATTTCCTAATGGCTACAACCTCTGACGTCGTTTTCTTCCTCAATTAAGGAAGATTAAGATCCTTGTAAGGGCATAGGCAATTCTGACCCCACAAATATATATATATATATATGTATAGTATATGTATAGTGGCATTTGATTCTCAATCTTGTCAAAAAAATGGTGTATTGACAATTATGTTAATATAGATCCTAAAGTTAAGACCCTATTTGGGAGCTTCAATAGAATATTTAATTGAGGGTTTAATCATAAAACGCAATTTTTATTACGATGAATACGTTCTTGTTGGACTCTCAAATGGAGCCTGAAATGATAAAAATAAATAATCATATTTTTCTTAATCTCTTTATTTGTTATCAGCTGAATTAATTTTTCACTAGATCATCAACCTAATCCTAGTTTTGAATGCCAATTGCCAAATCTTCAACATACTCAAGGTTGAGAATCGTAGCTTATGAAAAATTTCATAAAAGAAAACTCCTAGTGAATATTAATGTTAATTTTATTATTTATTTAAATCAAGCTCGAGTTTCATATCTTCCCTTTATAGTACTGTAGATTTCAACAGTTGGAAATCATAAAATTAGACTTCTTTCTGTGAGCTTAATTTGACTGTTCATATGTCATATACAACCCATCTTTCTCGACTTGGGAATATAATTTCTGCTTAACTTTTCAATGTTTGATGAACAAACACCCTTTTTGTCGCCTTCATAACATGGCTGCAACTGCCACAAAAAAAAATAAAAAATAAAAACTTTGTCTTAATATAACCACCCAATCCATATATATATAAACACGAGCAGCTTGAATATTTAATTTAATCTAAATAATGGATACTTATATTAGATTTGATAATTTTAAATACGATACGATGATATGACAAGAAAATGATATAAATAAAAAACATAAAAATAATATAATTTAAAATTTTAATAAAAATCATAAATAAATTTAATGAAACAAAAAGAATATTTTATATTTTTATGTCATACAAATTATAATACATAATTTTTATATAAAACAAAATAAAAATATACGAATTTTTAATATTTTATATAATACAAAAACACAAATTACTAAATCTATATTATATACTATATATAATATTAGCTTAGTCCAATAGTGTTGCTGGCATCTTACTTTCAAAACCCTTTTTTTTTTTTCTTCACCAAAGACTAAGAGTAGGTAATTTTTCCCACCTTGCGCGTGTTCGGTCTTCACAGCCTGATTAACGTGAATTTTATCATTAGAAATGAATTTTATTTTCGCAAATTTTGGCCACATGCATCTTGCTGTTGGATTTTTAATTCATTTTATCTACATCCACGAGAAATAAATTAAAATTATGTTGCAATATTTCTTTGGAAAATGTTTAGTAAAGTCGAATTAATTTTTTTTTAATTTGAGATTGTCAGTAATTAAATTTTAATTACAAAAATTGATAATCTTATAAATTTAATTTGAACTTTAAACTATGTAAAAACAAAGGAAGAGCCAAATAAATTCACTAAAATGTATGCTGAAGAATATTTTTCTTTTTATTGTGGGATCAAACTTAAAAAAGATTTGTCCATATAGGATATATATTAATCATACCGAGCCATTGTTTAAATGCAAAAATAAATATTAGTTGTTTTATTAGAGGATTATTTTTTTATTTTTTAAATTATATTTTAAATATGATATAAATAAAATTTTTTGTCAAATTTTAATGAATGATTGTATATAGTATATTTTTTAGAAATAAATAATAAAAATATTTAAGCAATGTAAACACAAATTGAAGGCAAATATAAAATACATATTTTCTTTGGATTTGGACATCTCCGAAGCATCTTTTGTTTTCCCAACATGATTATTCCCTCACTGAAAGAGTTGTGAGAGAATGAGGAAGTTTAAAAAAAAAAAAAGATGAGAGAAAATGAAGTTTTTAAAAAATAGAGTTGTGTGTTAAAAACAATAAAAAAAAATATGTAAATAAAAAAGAATAAAAGACATATTGATAAGATGCCAAAGATAAAAGCATAATCTCCAAAACGTTGCTATTATCTTAGCTCAATTAAAAAAAAAAAAACTCAATTTAATTATCTAAAATAAAAAAAAAAACACACACACAGCAATTGGATAATTGTGAATCAATATTTATCGAATATGAATTATTTTATTATTTTTATTTCAATTAATTTTTTATTACAAAATTTATTTAATAAAAGATAAAAATAACAAAATAAATAAAAAGAAAAAAGGAACTTATAAAAAATGAAAAACTTTAAAAAAAGAAAAAAAAAAACAAAACAAAAGGACGGAAGTGACACTTAAACATCTGAGATGGGTCGAAATACTTTAAATTTGTCTTTGACTTGACCCAATTCTCAAAAAAAAAAAAAAACAATATTGATTCAATCTCAAAATTAAAAAAAAAAAACTTATGTTAGATTGGTACAAATCGAAACCAATATGATATACGAATTGTATATCATTTGTACCTCAATTGATTTTTTTTGTAATTTATCTAATAGAAAATAAAAAGTGAAAAAAACAAATTAAAAGTAAAAGCAAAAAATTAAAAATAAATTTAATAAAAAATAAAATAAAATAATAGATTTTAGAGGAAGAAAAGTGTGCCACGTACCCTCTTTCTCCCCGTTATTTATAAAATTAAGCATAAAGATTTCATTTGAAAACTATGGTGTCCTGTTGCTGGCATATACTTCTATAGTTGTCATTTTCACATATCAAATAGAGACAAAGTCAATATATTTTGAGAGGGAACTGTGTGATTAATGAAGCCATGGAGAAGAACATAATCAAGGCGAGGCTAAGCTCTCTCTTCTTCATGTCCTTCCTTCAAGTCGCACTCATTGCAACATGTTGCAGAGGGAAATCGCAGCAGCCGCCAAAGAAGCATGTGCCTTTCTTCATCTTTGGTGATTCATTTCTGGATGCTGGCAACAACAACTACATCAACACCTCAACTTTTGACCAAGCAAATTTCTGGCCTTACGGAGAAACTTATTTCAAGTTCCCCACCGGAAGGTTTTCTGATGGCCGTTTGGTATCAGACTTCATTTGTGAGATTTTTGCAAAATCTTCTTCTTTCTTTCTTGTTTGTTCTTTGTTTCAAGTTCAGTTTGGTTAACCAACAAATATTCTGTCTGCCTAACTCCTTGTCTCATCTTAATATTGTATACATTTTCATTTTGTCTATTGTAGCTCAACGTGCAAACTTGCCATTGATCCCACCCTTTCTGCAACCTGGTTTTCGACAATATTACCATGGGGTAAATTTTGCATCTGCTGGAGCAGGTGCTCTACCTGAGACATTACAAGGATTTGTACGTATAATCTTCTTTTTTTCCCCCGTTTCTTCATTCTTTATATATTCTGGAAATTTAGACATTATTGGAATGAAATTGCATATAGAAATCTCGAGTTTAGCTATGTTTTCTTCTGTTAAACACCTTTTTATGTTTTTTTTTTCCTCTTTGCAAAGCCATTAGCCAGTTTGTATATATTTATCCAAGCTCAACTCAAAATGCTATTAAGTTACTAGAACACATATCCTTTTCATTATCTCCTACAACTTACCATAGAAGTATAAAAGGAAGGAATGTAACTGAGAGAGAGAGAGGAAAAAAAGGGAAGGAATAGGAGAAAAGACCTTTATGGTGTGAATGTTTAGAAACTGGAGATGGTTCTGACCAAAACCTTGTGGTCATGGTGAAATTTTGAGACAATTTTTACTTTAATTGGCTGGATGCACCTATAGGTTTGGGTCCCTAATGTATCCTTCGTTTTGTCAAACATCAAGTGAGGGCCAGGAAAACTTATTGGTATCCTGTCCCATCTAATTCACAAAAACATCAAGGAAGAAATTTGTACATGAATTCCAAGGTCAACATGGCAGACCAAAGAGAATGAATGATGTGTCAAATGTACAGCCATGAATTTTGTGGAGATTTACAGCTCCACTTTTCTTTTAAATGGTTACTCAAACTTTCATTTCTCAGGTGATCGATCTTAAAAAACAGCTAAGGTACTATAACAAGGTAGAGAGTTGGTTGAGACAGAAATTAGGAAATGATGAAGCCAAGATGACTATATCAAGAGCTGTCTACTTGTTTAGCATTGGAAGCAATGATTACATGAGCCCTTTCTTGACCAATTCCACTGTCTTACACAACTACTCTGACTTCACATATGTTGAGATGGTAATCGGCAACATTACAACAGTCATTACAGTAAGTAATTCTTCTTGTCTCAATTATTAAAATTGGAATGGTCGATTGTCTAAAATCGAAGTTTCCTCTTTTAGAAAGAAGAAATCAGTGAATAATTTTCTTTACTTTTAAAGGTATAATTTAAAATATAATATGGTAATAATAAAAAAAGATATGAAAAAATATACCAATGTGATATGGATTAATATTTTAACAAAAATCATATTTGAATTTAACAAAAAAAAATTCATATTTTACATGACATGCATATATGAATTATCAAATTATTTGTGAAACAAAATGCGGTCAAGTTGTGACTTAAATACTATGTTTTGGTGTTAAATGTGCAGGAAATATATAGAAGAGGAGGTCGAAAATTTGCATTCATCAACTTGCCGGATTTAGGTTGTCTGCCAGGGATGAGGATAATCAAGCCAGAAAACAATGGTAGCTGCTTGGAAGAAGCAACATCACTTGCAACATTACATAACCAAGCTCTTTCCAAGCTCCTCTTTGAGTTGGAAAATCGATTGAAGGGGATCAAGTATTCACTTTTTGACTTCAACAGCAATCTCAGACAAAGAATGCATCATCCCTCTAAATATGGTACGTACGGTAGAAACAATCATTCAAATTACAAGAATTTCTCAAAAACTGTAGGTTTTGTCCTAAATTCTTGAACTTGATCACAGGGGGACCTTTGACATAAATCTAGGATTCATAATTTCTGTCAAAAGAAACAAAAGCATTGAACATTGATTGTTGGTTAAACGTCAAAAAAGATACCATGATTGGTCAAAAGAAAAATTTTAGAGGGAAAAAGGCATAATCTATCAACTTATTTGAAATTAACCTCGAGATCTAGCAAGGCTCGAGGGCTTATAGTCCAAGCTTAAGGAGTAAATCATAACCTTGCTTAAAAAGTTATTCATTATAAAATTTGGACTGCATTACACAGTATATATAACGACACTGCTAAATGCTAATGGAATTTGAATGTTTGTTTCGCGAGAAAAACTTTAATAACTTGGAAGGAATAGAAATTTGAATTAATTGGGTGGAAATTTTGGTTCATGAAGGTTTTAAGGAAGGGGAGGCAGCATGCTGTGGAACGGGGCAATATAGAGGAGTTTTCAGCTGTGGGGGAAAAAGGAGAGTGAAGGAATTTCGACTTTGTAAGAATCCGAATCACTATGTCTTTTGGGACTCTATCCATCTTACCGAAAAGATTTACAAACAACTGGCAAATCAAATGTGGAGTGGAACCAGCAATTCTCATGATGTTGGACCTTACAATATGAAGAAACTATTCCAAATTCATTAAGCAATACTTGTCCCAAAACAGAGTATTCTTTAAGCAACGGTTTTGTATTCATCTTGAAAACAAGATTTTCATTATCACAAAAATGTGTCTAATACATGGGTTCTAATCCATATATTATATATGCATTGATTCTTTTCCCCAAGGGTGAACGAATACATTGTTTTTAGGAGGAAAATCTGATTGGATTTACTCTTGGATTAAATCCTGATTGGGCCCATATGCCAGTGACGGATGTCGGATACATATTGGAAGAAGCTAATATCTGGTATATTTGACTGTGTGGGCTTACTAATTTACCGGCATTAACGGCGTTTACCAGATATTTTGAAGGAATTTGTCGTTGTAGTAAACTTAAAGTGATCCATTTTGTTTCATATGGTTGTGTAATTACTTTTATTTTCCTTACACATTGAGGGCTTATTCCAGGAGATAGATTTGAGAACTAAAGTAAGTCATTTCAAGAATGTGGAAAGGCCGCCGCTGCAGAAACCTGGGGGCTGCGGAAGCCAAAATTTTGTTATCCCAAGCTGTTTACATAATAGCCATCGGAGCCAATGATTACTACCCTTTCTACACGGCAATGTGCCTAAATACATGGGTTCTAGTCCATATAAGTAAGCAGAGGACATAGAAATATGCATTGATTTTTTTCCATAAGAATGAGCAAATTCATTGTTTTTAGGGCTACCGGGATTTGGGTTTTCCGCCATTCATGAAATGTACTAGGAAATGCAGGTTCCTCCAACCCGGAAGGCAGAGGACTACCACAACTACACGATGCAGCACTTTCTGAAGTCCTGAAGGAGGTTAATATCCAACTAGAAGGGTTGCATACTCGAAGCAGCATACTAATATTCCTGTTACTGAAATTACATTTGGCAAAATGTAAGTTGAGCTTGCTTATTGCAACATAATATCATTTACGCCGAAAAAATTATATAAATATTTTGGAACACTTATACAAATTACGCTTAAAAATTTTGTTGCTAAAGATGAAATTTCTTGTACAACTGAATGAAACTCACCTTCAAACAGGACTATTGTTGGTTGTAAATGGTAATGTATTTCCTGTGAAAAAGAATCCGGATAGCATGAAACAGCAAAATCCACAGAGGGTCCAGTGTGATAGGGGGTCTCTCCACCGCACTGCCTCGTGCTACCAAATCCACTCTTAGTGCTTAAGGATGGTAATGGACGACACTCCTAGAATTCGGCATTATGCTATACAGGTTCTTAGGTCACTTTCAGCCATAGCAGGGTAAACCAGCACTTTGGGAGTTGGATTCTGACCAACACAATAGCAATGGAAGGCATGGTCCTAATTTTAATGATAATGTCGTAACGATGTGGAGTTTCCGATAAATTTGAAAATGAAAAATAAAAAAATAAAATCATCATCCATTTTTTTTATTAAATACGATTGATCACCTATTAAAATTTATATTTTTAATAATATTCTTAAAATTAAATAAAATTTTTTAAAAATATAATTTTAAGATCAACGAAATAGTTTGAGCTGAGAAATTAATGAGGCGTAAAAAAGAATTAGCACCCAAATAATTCATGTTTAAAATTATATAAATTAATTACATGTTATCTTTTAATTTTAACAAAAATAGTTTTAGTTTTAATATTTAAAAAATAATAATAAAAATGAGGGAAAAAAATTTGCTCGATGATGGGATGAAATTTTTAGGTGAGAGATTTTTTAAAAATACTATCAGTATATTGGAGTATTTATAAAATTTTTTTTAATATGATAAAATTTTTTTTTCTTAAAAAATAATAATAATTTTTAAAAAATAAAAATTTTAAAGGAAAAAATAAAATATGTGAATCGATTTATTATCATTTACATTGCATGTATGATCTTGTTATTATAAAAAATAAATATGAATTTTTAAAAATGAAATTCTAAAATATTTCGATAAACGATACTTAAAAAATGACGAAATTTTTTTAAAGTACAAAAATTTGTTTATTTATTTATTTATTTTTCTTTTCATTTATTATTATTATTATTATTATTATTTAGTTATCATTTTATATTTTATTATTTTATATAGTTCATTTTAATTTTTTAATGGAATTTAAAATTATTAAGAATTTAAACTTTATTTTTTATTTTTTTTGTTCTCATTTTTATTAAAAAAAAGCAACAAATATTTAATTTAAAAAATTTAACATTTTTAAACATACGCAAATAAAAATAAATTAAAAAAGAAAAAACTTAAAATGATAAAAGAAAATAAAAAAAAACAATATCTGAACTGTCAGTTCAACGGTTCAAGGGTTGACTGTCAGTTCAGTCGAACTGGTTGAGGGTTGATTGAAGACTTGAGTTATGGGTCAGTTCCGTGGATCTCGAATCAACCCTCGGGCTGGCACGCAGACCTTGGGGTGCTCAAAACGGCACCATTTCACCCCCTCTATTTATTTACAAAGCTCATTTTTTTAGCTCATTTCTTCTTCCTTCAAAAAAAAAAAAAACTACTTTGCTCTCTTCACCTTTTTCAGAATCCGGTCATTTCTGTCACGTCAGCCGCTATGCTCTTCGTCGTGGTCGGTCGCCGACCTCCATGCCAGTCACCAAAAAATGTCAAAAAAATATTAAAATGATCTTTTTAGCCCATTCTTTAACGATTTGACTCCTTTTCGCCAAAAAAAAAAATCTCCAACGCCCTTAGATCTAAGCCAAAACCTTTCAGCTCCACCCAAGAAAACCCAAAATACTTTTTCCTCTTTTTATTTTTTTTGTTTTCTCTGTTGATCCTTTTTTGATATTGGCACTGGATTCAATATAAAAGGGATTGCGATTTTTTTTGTTTTCTTTTTTTTTTTTTGAGTTTTCTATGTAGGCAAAAGGATTTTTTTATTAGACAGAGACCTTGTTTCTGTTTTCGGTTGGTTTTTTTTGGTTTCTTGTTTTGCAGGTTTTCTGTGTTTTTGGTGGTTTTTTTTTCGTTTTTCAACAAAGTTTTTCCTTTTCTTTTTTTTTTGTTGGTCACATGGAGGCTCAATTTATAGAGCGGGCCTAGGGACCATTCTTCATGTTTCCATCCATGATCCATGCTGCAAAGTGACGGTGGCGGTTAAAGAAGGTGATGGGCAAGTGGCTGGGCAGGGTATGGTGGTTGCTAAGGTTAAGTAGTTAGGCAAATGAGATAGTGTGGCTGGTGGCAGGGTATGGTGCGGCTAGGGTGGTAAGATAGGTTGGTGCCATGCATGGTACTGTGCCTTACTTTGTCTTGTTTATTTTTGGGTTTTAACTATTATTATTATGTTAATTTTATTAATTTTAACAAATAAAATTAAAACAAGGTAAATAAAAAAAGGCTCTGGTTTGTCTTGGGCCCTGAGCCTAATAAATTGAAATTGGGCCTCGACCCAAAAATTTGAGCTCACAAATTTAAAAACGAAGTCCAATTCAACGAACCTGAACAAATTTAATGTCTAAAAATAATGCTAGGGATATCGAGTCTCTGAATTGCAAATGTCTGTTATACCAAATTTCCAGTGCCAAGGATTTCTTCTTTGAGACTTTGTATTGCCTAATAATTCTAGTTCTAGATATAGTATGCAGATTCTTCGTGGAACTGACTCTCCCAATGCTGCTTCAAATGTCGGACACCATCAGCCTTTTGTCTGAAGATATAGAAGGAGCTACCCATGGGTCTTTCAGAGTCGACTCCAGAGTTGCCAACTTTGAAGTAGTTCCATTCCATGTAAAATTTGTTTCAGCTACAACCAAATTGAACCCATCCGAAAGATGTGATTTCATTTCAAAAAAAAAAATAGATGAGATTTGCTGAGAAAGAAGAGTTGCGACTTCGGCTGAGGAAAAGCAATTTTCAGCTCGCGTTACACCGACAACATTAGCTTTATCATGAAATCCTTGGGTGGAATCTCATGGAGGAAAGTTCACCACCTCAATATTCTATGATTTTAAACACCATAGGTTTCAACCCTGTAAATAATTTCATAAATAAATGTTGTCGTCTTATCCCAACATTTTGAAAATAGAATAGATTATATAGTTAAATATTTAATATAATATTTAACTTTTAAAAATATTTAATAAGAAAACTATAAATTTGTAAACACTTGATTGAAAATTTAACCCTTTAAATATCACATAATTAATAAACTTATAATTTATATATCACATTAAAAAAAATTTAATTTAAATATCATATTAAATATTTTATTATAATTAAAAAAACTATTTATGATATTATCCCTTTGAAAAATTTATCCCGTAAAGAAAATTTATTGCAGAATTTGGAACCATTATTGCCTCTACCAGAAATACCGAATCTTAAGAAAATGATATTTAGTAAACATTATTGCAGTATTAAAAAACGAAAAAGCATATATGTAACATTCCGATAACAGGTCATCGCCGCATATAACAAAATAATTCATCACATAAGATACCAACACAAAATAACCAAATCTCTAGGCGATTGATGTCTTCATAACTATAACTAAACAGTGCGGAAAGCACAATTCCATCGTAATGATAGAGAAGTTCAAAATAGCTCATTTTAAAAGAAAAACATTAGTCAAAACACAATTCTCTCAATCCCAACCAGTAGGAGCAGGAGCAGGAGCAGGAGCAGGAGCAGGAGCATCAATGCCAGAACCAACTATTTGTGCTGGAGGAGGAGCTGCAGCATCCCAAGCATCGGCGTTAACAGCACCTGCGTTTGAAAATTTTGAAGTAGATTAGGCAAAGGAGACAATCATCAACGTTTTAAATTAATTAGTATATGCACGATAATAAAACATTTCTTACCTTGCTCAACCCAGTTAACAGCAGGTACACCAGAAATAGGTGGCTGAACCACATCAGCGGACCACTGATCACCTATTTGTGCAGGCCATTGGTCAGCTGCTAAAGCACCCATTCCATAATCTGCAGCAGGGAGTCCATAATCAGGGGCAGCAACTGCTTCATCCTCTTCCTGCTGTTTAGCTTCCTCAGGCTCCCTGTAGAAATATAGATCCACCTACATACAATATCAAGTATGAGAACATGCAAGTACAAAACACACAAATCGTATTGACAACATGATGATGGAGTTTTCTCTTTTACCATCACATCCCATTTCTGTCCAGGAGCAATTGTACCACGCATCTGAAGAACCATCCTTGCTAACAGCCAGAAAAGACAGCCAATGCTGTGCTTTCCCTTGTTATTAGCAGGAATACCAATGTCGACATATCGCATTGGCGAGTCAGTATCACAGAAGGCAATGGTCGGAATGTTTCCAAGAGCTGCTTCCTTGATAGGCTGCAGATAATATAACTCAAATGTTAGTTAATACAAAGCCATTATGTATAGAGGTATAATCAATTTATTCTATATTGAAGCATGATAAAACTCAACAGTAGATTACAATTTACCTGGTGGTCGGTCCTAGGATCTGTAAGGATAAGAAGGCGAGGCTCACTGAAAGATGTCTGGAGTTGGTTAGTGAATGTACCAGGAGTGTGCCTTCCAGCAATTGCATGACATCCAGTGTGCTGTGCAAATTTCAATACAGCTCTCTGACCATAGGGCCTTGCAGATTGGACAATGATGTCCTGAGGGTTCTCTATAGCCACAATTACACGTGCAGCAAGCTGAAGCTTCTCCCAGGTCTTGCCAAGGTTGATGATGTAGATTCCTATGGAGAGTAGAAAGAGAATTCCATAATTAAAAACAGAGACTATTTAGCCTATAACCCAAGAAGACTAAGATAATTTACCCTATTCTAAAGAAAATCTATTGCATATGCCAATCCTTCTCTGAAGGCTGAACACATTTATTCCATCAGGCCAATTATGTTTAGTCTGCAACATACATGCACAGCTAAAATGAATCCAACATATAAATAACGGAATGTCATTTCCGCAAGCATCAGATTGGTAAAAACTCTAATTGTCTAGATACACAAGCAAAATAACAAGTTCTATTACAATACATAGCCTCATGTTTCAGACCAATTCTACATATAATACTATTAACAAATGAGACAAGCTAACTTCATCTGATAACCTAACACAAACACGTGAACATAAGTACAAACAGATTCTTTCAATGGAATTTATTGACAAATGAAATGGTATAAAAAAAAAACTAAAATCATAGCCTTTAACAGATCTCAGACCTAAAAAATACACGCTTTACTAATTAAATAAAACAAAGATAACCTAAAAATTTACAAATATAACGCTGAAAAAAAACCCAAATCTCAAAACACAGAACATATGCAAGGAAAAAGGGGAAACTTCAAGCTTCAGCAGCAAATACCCAGGAACTCAAACAAGTGATAATTCATGCCAAAAAAAAAAAAAAGCTGAACACAATATAGTAATAGGTACAGAAAGAGAGAGGACATAATGGCAAAGAGAAAATAAATTTACCATCATTGCGGCGCTTGAAAACGTAACGTTCCATTTGGAAATCACAGTTCTTGGTGCCAAGATGGACCTCGGCAGCCAACATCATCTGTATGTCTGCTTCTTTAGGAGATAGCTGCCTTGCGGCTGCTGGGGCTGTCGTTGTTGCCATGCTCAGTCTTTCTTGACTGCTAAACCGTAAAAAAGGATGGGGTTCTCGCAGAGGAGATTAGATGGAAAGCAAATGAGTCTACGGTGATCGAGTTTCAGGTGTTTATAAAGTAGGGTTTCCGCCATCTGATGTTAAATGACCGATATAGACTTGCTTTTTCTTCAAAATTTCCAATTCCCTAACGCTTGAAATGGGTCAGAGGCGAAATATAGGCCCAGACTCAACTTGACTTCCACTTTTAATCGAACTAAAGCCCAATGTTCGTGTATTTTAGTCAAATCTTCAGAAAAACCCAAAAAATTATATGGAATTAGAAAACAACCCCAAATCCATGACCCCGTTACAACACCCTTTTTTTTTTTTCAATTTAAAACTCATTGATTTAAACCCTAAACCTAGATTGGCTTCAAAGAAATAAGAAAGTAAGGCTAATATCCTCTGCCTGGAGGATACAATCCATGGCACAGAGAATCTTCCTACAGTTATGTTTCCTGTCATCTTTTTCTAGCTTCAGTTGTTCTATACAGTTACACTGCTTATATCTGAGTATGCATGACTGACTAATTGATCTTCATATAAATTGGCATCATTATAATACTGATTATAATAAGAGAGTAAGAATTTTTCTCTTAATCAAGAAAGAAAGGAACTGCAAAATAATTACATGTTCACCCTTCTATTGCCACCACGGCTGTGACCGTTCTGTCTGGGGCCAATATTGTTTATAATGGAAACCCGTTGTATGACCTATCACTTACCACTTTGGCAATAACCCTTGCTGCTGTTACTGTTCTCGTAGCAGCTGTTGGGAATATCAGGAGAATGAATGAAGGCAATTTCCCTTTTTAACTTATTAAAAAGAAGGAAGGGTCTCTCTCACCATGCCTTTGTTTAACTGTCTGATTCAAGGCAATTCAATTGTCAAGTTATTACCAGATCAGCCGCTTAGCTCCTTCACTTTGTTCTTGAAAAGAAAAAGAATGGAACTAAATCCTCATTCCCTCTTCGATGCGGACGGTGTTTGCTGCCGGTGTTAGCGGCAAATCAGCAGCTTGAGTTGAGAAGTGGAAGACAGACGAGTTTATGGAAAAGAAACCAAAAACAAGCTCATGGCATGTTGGATCCCTAATTGAACCTGCCAAAAAGGTTTGCTTAAACTTCTCATTCAAAGACCTTTTGCTTTTAGGTTTCAGTCACTGTGTGGAACTTTCTGGTTTCTGTGCCATACATTTGATTGATTGAATTACCTGTATGGTGTAAGTGCCCAGCTTCCAATAACTTTAAAAGTCTGCTGACTTTTTTTTCTGTTTTCTCAACTTGATATGAAGAATTGTTTGATGTTGGTGGCAATGACATGGATGATGATTATGTGGATGGTGGTGATGAAAGTGATAACTAAGAGATAATATATTGGACTCAGTTAATCCTTCTCTAGATGTTGATGGGGACTATGATTATGATGATCTAAACCAAGTTGCCAATAAAAATGATGATGACTTGATTGGTAATGCCAGTGATGCAGAGATGGACTTACCCACAGATGCTGATGCAGAGGATTTTAATGCTGATGCTGATGCTGATGCTGGCAGTGATAGGATCAATGAGGATGATGATGATGATGCCATTGATATTGGAGATGAGTATGATCTTAGCACAATGAGGATGGGTATCATTTAAGTAAATCCTGCCTTACTGGCTTATTAATAATCTCATAGTATTTACATTGTGATCACTTTGTTAATTATGTGCCAGTCTGCCAGAGTATTGATCTCTTCGAACCTGTACCCTCCATCAATGATATATGAGACATGCCTCGCTCCAGATTATGGAACGAACAATATTCCCAACTTCTTTTACCGTAAGGAGTGAAGCTAAAGCTGGTGAATGATTCCAAGTGGTTGCATCATCTTTTGGAAGCAAGAGACCCTGGGAGCGGAGGGAAAGCTATTGGCAAAGTAAGAAAATTGTGCTATTTGCCTTTCACATGCTAATATTATTATTGTATTAGTTATTTGTTATTGTTGTTATCTTATACACAGATATGCTCGATGGATTGGCTAATTAACGAATTCTTAAACAAAAAAGAACAAAATGGACAAGTGCTTCAAAGAATAATTAAACTCCTTGGAGTTGGAGTTCACTTTACTTATCATATGCTTGTATATATGCTGGCTGTAGTTTTTTCAGAATTAAATCCCTTGATCCTGATCTTAATCTTTTAAGATTTACCTATATCAATTACTTCTACGAGGAGATGTTGCAACCTTTTTTTGAATTCCGCAGTTTTACCAGCAGATACTTGAGTAATGAGATAATCCAAACTAAGCAAAATGAGAAGTGGCACAAATCTACCGAATTACATTAAATTATAAATGAAAATACGGATAACATCTAGATACATTAAACAATGTTTGATTGTTTGATGCCTAAAGTTTCCAACAACTAAACCGTGGCCCTGTTTTAAGCTATGGCAGCTTCAACTGTTTTAGGCTTTGATGGTGGGGGAAGCTTCTCAACAACCACAGTCAAAACCCCATTTTCACATTTAGCTGTAATAGCAGACACATTGGCATTCTCAGGCAATCTGAACTTCCTAATCAGCTTCTGGAATGGCTTCCTGTCAAGCCTGATGTATTTACATCCTTCCTCTTCAACTTCCTCACGTTTCCTCTTCCCACCACTTTTGATCACCAATGTGTTCTCATTTTCAATAGTGACCTGAAACTCAAAGCAAGAATCAATGTTAGCAAAAAAATGATATCAAAATCAAAACGCTGAAAGGCTTTTTGGTCTTTTTATTTCTATTACCTGGATATCCGACTTGGACAAGCCTGGAACATCTAGGTCGAAAATGAACTCCTTGGGAGTGTCCAAAATGTCGGCTGGTATGACACTGAATCCTTTGTTCTCGTTCTCATGAGTGTCCTGAGTCCGTGGAGGGAACATGAATTTTTCGATGTTTTCTAGTAAACTAAACCAATGGGTCATTGTCTCAGCAACTCGGCTCATTTTCAAACGCTGTTGGAGGAGAAAACCAAGAGAAATAGTAGAATCTTTGACGTGAATGAGTACTCTGAAAGGAACAACAAACAATTTCTTTCTCGTCTGCTTGGGTAGTGAGAATTTGTTGGGGGCATAGCACATATATAGAAGTAGAAGAAAAGAAAGTTCGGGAGTAAGCAGGGAAAAAGTTACAAGAACGATCAGGAAAAATCTCAACCGTTTTGGAATCCTCATGTGCATACACGCGTCCTTTGTTGGGGATATTGTGGAACACTCGTATCCTTTTATGGCAGTGACGTGGCGCTATGATTTGCTCTTTTGGGTTCAGTCTTATCGTTCCCATTTCCCATGTGACCATAGTTTTTGGGCAAATGGGTTGATCGATCCTTATTTGGATCTCTATCTTTCCTTTTTCCCAATCAAGATTTGGGCTTCAATATTGAGTCAACCACAAAACCATTGGACCAAAACTCACAAAACTTCGCTTCGCAATGAATTTTGTCGGTTGGGTATTGACTATTGACTTGTTGAACCAAGACGAAGCAGCAGTGTATCAAACCTCGGTTTACAGTCCTGACCAGAGAACAGTGCTAGTTGTTAATAGTGCGTCCATGTCCTCTGTACATGACTCCACGATCTTCTTCTATTCGTGTGACACAACCAGATTTCGGGAGAAAAAGTTAGATCTTCTTTAACAAATCAAATTTTGGCTTCATTTATGGCAACAGGTGAAAATCCAAGAATGGGAATCTTTAACCTTTCTCATGCTCCAAACATTGTTACCAGGTGAGTATTTAAGAGCAAAGCATTTATTAATACATGTACATGTACTAAGTAATTACAATCTTAAAACATAATTTGCCTCCTAATTTTTGACAATTTTTTATCTTTCCATGCTTGGAAAAATCATGATTTTTCTCAAACAAGCATATATTCTTTTCTTTTTTGAGCATTAGTGGTTGCAGGCTAGACATGGTTATTGAAATTTAAACTTAAATTATTGAATATCACTTCTTAAAAATAATTATATGAATTCGTTAAATTAAACTTTGAGTTCAATGAGCGTATATTCTTTCCACTTCGAATTCATATTACTGAAATATTTTGTAGCTAATTGAAAGAAATGAAGATGACAATGATTAGTAGCAGCTGAGATCCCACTCAGCACATGACATAAATCCTCCAAATCTATAATATGATCTCGAAATGTTTCTTCTAAAGCACATGATCCAAACGCTGAATCTTGTTTCATGTTAACATGCAGATTTCCCACGGCCAACCCCTTATTTATGTACCGGAACCTAGCCGACCCTACCCTTTACCCTTGATCAAAAATACTAGTTCAATAATTTAACTCAATTATTTATCAACTGCCACTGTCTGTTTGGCTTAATTAGCATGTGAGACTGAGGATAAAGGTGAGGGATTAGGGTTATTCAAGGACTTAAGGGCTGATAATGAAAGAGTTTATTTCATATCAAAAGTTAGTGGTCAATCTTGTTTTGCTTCTGATCTTTTTTTCTTGGTGATAAGAAGATAGGTATCTCAATTTTTTGTTTGGATTTAATCTTCTCTCAAAACGATCTTAAGAATGAACTTTCTCACATCGGTTGCATTAATTCAAGATTTTATTTTTCAACTATTTTCGATAAAAATCAAATTTTAGTTTTACATCAAAATAATTCTCTTTTAATTAACTGAATTAACCTTTGTGGATGATTTTTAACGTATTTTACATTAATCCTAAATTAGACTTTTACGGAGTGGTAGGTAAACCATTAATCTTATATTTTACATCAACATCTAACAGACGTACGTGGTTATTTAATTAATTACACAAAAACATACCAATGAGCCACTGGTAGTTGAAACCCATAAGTGCTATTCGTCTCTAGCCTTGGCAATGCAAAAGTTCGTTTCCTTCTTTTACCTACCAAAAGTTCTGTTCAAAATGCAATTGATTCTCTATTAATGATAAGACTTCAAAGTGCAAAAGGTTTTAGCCAAAGCTTTCCAACTCTTGAAACCCAAGAACAGTTATATCAAAGTCAATTAGCAAAGCTTAAGATAAAAGCTTTTGATAATTGTTCCAAAGGAGAAGTGTGTGGGGAACAGGTAATGAAGGGGCTGGAGGGATGCAGCCTGGTTTTGTCGAGGACTCCATGCATGAAAGACATTCTAATTAGAAGCTGCAATTATTGGTAGTACCTAACAAAAGTCTGTTAGGTAACGCATAGTATAAAATATGTGAAGACAAAAGTCAGTACGTGATGCCACCAGCTCGAAGCTTTTTTTTTTTTACTATGGCTTTTGAAACAGAAACCATAAAGAAAATCCAGTTGGTTTTTTTGCATATGGAAATGTTGACTGCTTACCATCCAACAGATTTTGATGCTATTAATGATACATGAACAAGAACAAAGGAAGCACCATTGCCCTACTATATGATTCTTGTAACACTGTTACCCTTTCAATTTTTTTTTTTCACTTTTATTAATTACCTTTAATTGATGTAGATATGAGGCTGTTTGATAATAATTTTTCATCATTATATATCATGTGAAAATTTGAGAGTCTTCTTCAAGATTACCAAAAAACAGTTTTGTTCAAAAACCCCCCATCAAGTTTTATGACTCCAGCAGAGAAAAAGTGAGACTTGAGTTAATATCATGCAAAAGTCCCGGTCCAGACAAGTAAGCTTTAGTTTGGATTCACACGGCAGATGCTTACAGTGCGAATCAGCGGTAAGTTAAATTCAAATGTCAATTTTAATAAAATTCATTTAATATAAATTTTTTAATAAAATTTTTTAATCATAATTATAATATTTTATTTTTCAATCACAATTACAATAATTTTTATTATTATTTTTAATCTCATTAAAATCAATCTAACCACATATCCAAATAAAATTTAAATCAGTCCATTGGGTGGGCTAAAATACTTTTTCATCAATGCCAAAAGGTGGCATACATATTTACAATATTTCTAGCATCTATACACTAGGAGAAAAAGGCCAATAGTATGATTTTGAGCCACAAGGTTTGGATTCATTCAAGTGGGCTGCATCCTCCATGACCCCCACAATTGAATTAAAAAAATTTTCCAAATCTAAACCATATGTTGTTATTCATACCATAGAACTAGATCATAGAAATCACATGAAAATGGAAATAGAACAAAAAAATAGAAAATACGAGGAAAAGTTTTTTCAACTAAATATATATATATATATATAAAAAGATCATTTGATTCATTTTTCTAACAAACAAGTCCTCACCAAACGCCAAATAAGAGGCAACTGATTTGTGCACCCTAAATATTTTATACCTCATTCTTAGCTGGTATATAGCAATTATCAAACAGTGGCAGTGGGCCATTGCACGTATTAGCTATTTGCAATGTTTGTCTCAGGCCTCTCTCTTTAGCTAGTCCCCCTCCATTCTTTTATATATATGAACCTTCCTCCATAGTTCTCTGCAGTTCTTCAAAATAAAAGAAAACCGGTTTTTCTTCTATAGTAGTATTACTCTCCTCTCTTTTTTTTACATTCCAAAACCCTACAACAAAACTAGGACGTTATATAGGAAAAGCTAGCCATGGCAAAAGTGGGGAAGTTAATGAAGCTGAAGTCTGCAATAAAAAGATGGCCATCCTTAGCGAAGCTGACCCGTAGCAGCAGTGCCATAGCGGCTGCAGAATCCGAAGACAAGTCAATACCAAATGGTCTTCATGCAGTCTACGTTGGAATGTCGCGGCGGAGATACCTGGTAGGGTCTGAGATCATCTGCCATCCTCTGTTAAAAGAGCTTATTGATAGGTCCTCTGGTGGCGATAATGGTATTGATAATGGTGAAGTTGTGGTTTCTTGCGAGGTTGTTTTGTTTGAACACTTGCTTTGGATGCTTGAGAATGATGGAGCTCAGTTGGGCTCCATGGAAGAGCTGGTTGAGTTCTACACTTGCTAACAGAAGGGAATAAAAAAAAAAAGGCTAAAGCCTTGTCCAAGTTGTAAAAAGATAAGAAAAAAGGAAGAGAAAACAAAATCAAGTAGTATAGGGAGTTAATTTAGTGGTGTCCTTTGTGAAGATGAGGATTAACCCATGTAATTTTACTCTGGAATGATGTTGCTCATCAAGAACACGATCATTCGGAGTTTTCTTTTCTTTTCTCTTCTTTTTTTTTTTTTTTTTCTAAAATGCTTGGTAAGAACTGTTACTATCGTATATGTTCACAACCAAAATGGTTGAGAAATGAAAATTTGGCTGCTATATTCAATCTTCGAATTTCTCCTTCCTTTTTCATTTTCAATATTGCTATATATGTATTTGATTTTATGTTTAGACATAGCTAGGCAAGTGGAATGAGACCTAATTTTCAACTCTTTATGCCAACATAGAATAAGGTGGCAAGTAATATTTGGGCAGAGATCAAATCACAAGCGGCTGCTTTGTTAGTTCACTTTGTTGGATTTTTTTTTTCTTTTCAAGTAAAAAATACCTAGAAAAATGAGGGAAAAAAAGAGAAGAAAAGAAATTATACAAAAGTTTAAGGTGGCAAGTAATATTTGGGCAGAGATCAAATCACAAGCGGCTGCTTTGTTAGTTCACTTTGTTGGATTTTTTTTTCCTTTCAAGTAAAACATACCTAGAAAAATGAGGAAAAAAAAGAGAAGAAAATAAATTATACAAAAGTTAGTTTTTGCTTATGGGCATGGGGCCCTTTTCTATTAATAATCCATTGTAGAATGAATGCCCAATTTAATGAAGAAGAGGAATCCCCTTCTCCTGAGAATTTCAGCAAGTGGGGTTTTGCCAGGAGCTCGCTAGCATCAAGCTCACCTAAGCATGATGCTCTAGCTCTACAAACCACTACAATCTTTTTCTCCACAACTGTCCCAATTAAAACCACTTCAGTCAACTCAGACTGAAATACTGGTGAGGAAAGTCATGTACATCAAGTTTTGTACATCAATTTTGGTCCCCTATTCTTTGTCATGACCCTAGAAATTAAACTAAGGCTCCGGAGATAAAATTGGTTACGTTGAAATTAAAAATAATAATAATTATTGTTATAATTATAATTTAAAAAAATTATTATAATTATGATTAAAAAAATTAATGAAAAAATAAGGTTACATGTGAATGGAGGTAAATTGATTTTGGTGAGATTAAAAATAATAATAAAAATTATTATAATTACAATTGAAAAAAAATTACTGTAATTATGATTAAAAGAAATTAATAAGAAATTTATGTTGATATATTTTCATTAAAATTGACATTTAAATTTATTTAGTAGTGTGGTGAGCTTAATTACATTACACCAAAATTACGATGAAATTCAATCGGAGACTAAATCTCTTTCAAGATTTGCAACGATAATTTGCTCATAGAACCTTTCTGGGTATATGTCGAGAACAGCTCTTACATCTTATCCGAAAGGCTTCTCTCGTTGCACTATGGTCGATGCACTTGAATAAGTTATTTCAGCTTTTTTTTTTTTCTACCTCCAGAAATCTGCAGTGAAACTTGATTTAATCACAAACGGAATTTTATTTCAGTTCAGATTGTTTCCAGTTGGTGAACACAATTGTTTCACTTTGAAGTAGTACTGTGTCAATGCTGGTATACATCATCTTAATTATTAATTCATCTTACACAATTATTATTTCAATCTATGAAATTTAACCATTGTATCATACAATTACCAGCAATCATATAATCTATTGATAGAGTATTAAATTTTTAATTTCAATGATTAAAATTTAAATTCTAATAACTTCAAATATCAAATAAAAAAATTATAAAATTATGAGTAGATGTTAAAAATTTTGAGTAACCTGTCAGAAGTGGACAAAGTATTTTTTTATATAGATTAAATTACCTTAATTTAACGATAATATATGTTGACATGTATTAGTTTTTCATAGTATTTTAAGCTGCAACTTAATGATTGAGTAGTTGGAAGATGCCTTTGTAACATCCACGCATTGACACTCGACACTATAATTTTTCAATTTTTGTTTACTGGAGAATGACAAAATTTCTTGTAAGAAATTTAGCACGACAACAAGGCAAAGGTAACGAACCAGGTTTTGGATTTGAATCCTTAAACTAATCATTTTTTTTTTTTTTATGAATGAAATCTTTCAATATAGTCATAATTAAACTGATCAGGAAATTATGAATGATAGTTTAGAAACATTGATGATGAAATAAAAGAAAAAAAAATTGAAACAAAAGGATACTAATACAGTGATCAATATATATAACTAGCCTGTCTAAATTATCCCTTTGATTTTGTAAATGGGTTCTATGTCTTGGTCATTTGGAATGCTGTTGCTACCAGTGCCAGCTTAATTGACTTTATAAACAATTCGAAATAATGAGGTAGAAACAAGATCACCAAGAAAAAAAAATTAATATTAATATATTCTAAAGTGAAGTCCAACCTTTAAATATATTATAAACTTATATATATACAATTTTTTTTTGGTGAAATATATATAATATTGCCTCATATACATGTCAACGACTCTAAAAATGGAGTTATTCAATGATTAGAGCAGCAACTTGCGTGATGTGAAGTAGTTATGTTCACCTGTCTTTGGACATGAATATTAGAATTTTTATTATTTAATGAATAAAAAATTATTTTTATTTAAATTTGATTTTTAAATATGTAAAATATTTCTATAAAAATAATTTTTAAATATTTTAATATTTTGAAACAATAATCAACAAGTTAGCCTTAGGCAAGAGATTTCAAAGATAAACTAGATTTGATCAGATTCAATCCAACCCATAAATATGCCTAATTTGAAGCTTCTTTGTTTCTAAGAAAATTCTGGTATTTTTGGGAAATAATTAGCAAAAACTGTTTAACAATCAAAACTTCTAGGCCACTCTGTTTATCCACTTACTAAAGGAAAGATATTGCACATCCAAATCAGTACTGGGAAAACAGTAGTAAAATCATGCGTATGAGACTTTCTTTTTTCTTTGGGAGAGTATATGCCAATGTCATGGGCCATTGAATGTAAAATTTTTTTGATTAAGGTCAATTATTTATGTTCCCTTGTCTCCATTTTCGAAACAAAGAGTACTCCAAGCACCAGAAGCCAGCCAGCACAGTAAGTATATAACTGAGGATAGATTTCGCAATTTGTGTATTAATATTATTTAAAATATTAATACTTCGTATATTTATATCGTATTTTATATAAAAATAATATATTATAATTTATATTAAAATAAAAATATATAATATATTTTTTAATTTTATTAAATTTATTTATAATTTTTGTTAAAATTTTAAATTTTATTATTTTTTTTCATCTTTTATATTTAAAATTATTAGATTAATTGAAGAGCCCGCCAAATGATCGATCGGTGTGCGCTTACCATGGGCTGACTAGAGGGACCCGTACCGGCCTTTGCCACAAAGTTTCTTGGTTCTTCATAGGTAAAACACTCAGCCATGATATCATCTTTTTTTTCCATAAGAGACATTAGAAACATTGGTACAAAATAATTCAACATTGTTGTACTGATCTAATGTATTGTACCGAAATTAGGCCAATTGAGGCTGAGATTTTGGTCCAAAAAGTTAAATCTGTTCAAATGCTTTAACAAAGTCAATAACATAAACAAAATAATTAGGTCTATAGCTGCATTTTGTTTGACTCCAGTTATATATTAGTTGCTTAATTCCAAAAAAGAAGCCTCAGATTGATAGGGATAAAGTTGGAGTTTAGTGTGACTAAGTTGCTTATTGCTCAAATTCGAAAAGGAAGCCACAAATGGAAGTGTTCTCACACCAAACTTTAATATTAAAAAAAAAAGTTTGAGCAAAAAACTTGGAGGGTCAATTTCATGATTATGATATATGCTAACCTGATATAAGTTGGAAATTTAGAATGGTTTTATCTGCAGAAAGAAGACACAATCAACAGATAAGGAATAGAAGAATTTGGGTTTTTTTGGCTGTTTGGTGTTGGGGCATTTGGGCAAATTGGAATGAGCTATGTATGATGCATCATTGCGTCATACATATGACTGCATCACGTGACTTGGAATTAAACATGCCTTTTTTCAGTAGATGCAAAGAATGCTAAGATGAATGCAGGCAAGTTTTTGTCACTCCTTAAATTGATAACAAGTTGGTCTTTCAGCTGCAATGTTAGATAGATGTAGGGTATGATTTGACAGCGTAGTGGAAACAATTTTCACTGTTTTTGCTGTATTATGATTTAATCTTACATTTCACCATTCATGTTGCCAAATGAATCCATAATCTTAAGAGATTTGTTCTCCCTATCTCAAAATATGTTCCTAATCATCTTTGATCGATCAACATTACTTGAACGATCATCATTTTCCCTTTTAGCCAGATTTCTAGAGAGACAAATGAGTAATTAAGCCAAAGGAAGCTCAATTTTGAAGCTAATTAGTTATAGTTATCAACATGAAACCACAACATATGCAAATCTTATCTTTGAATCTAATTAAAGATTAAATGATGAAATAATTCATGTATATCCAGTTATTACAATCTATATTGATTCATCATATCTAATCTGAATCTTACCCAAAACTAATATGCATATGAACAAAAATGATTGCTTTACTCATTCTAATAAATGAAGCCGGCCTATGTTAATAGTTGCCCATTGTTATCTCTTTAGCTTTTTCTACAAATAAGATTGTCACCTCTCAAGGATAATTTGATGAATCAACCAAGTTAATTCGGTTCAATAATTTTTCATATTTTGAAAATAAAATTCTTGATCTGTGCTAAACAAGGAAATTGAAAAATATATTCTTATCTAGCATTAATAAATGGAAAAAAAAATCTACCATAACAAGCAATTAGTTCTTATACAAATTAAAATGATCGTCAATGAAAAAATATAAGGTTAAAATTAGAAAAAGTAATAAATTAACCAAAGGATCTTTTATTAATGCATAAATTAATTCTTTAAAGCCTCTTCTAATCTAAACACTAGTAAATCTTAATCCAGCTGCCAAGAACAGTGTTTCGTCAGCTTAATTATTCCGGGAAAATATATTTAAAAATCTTTGACATCAATCCAAAGATGATCGACATCAATAAAAAATCCAAACCATCTCAACCTATCCTCAATCAACACGAACAATCTTTCGTTTAGCCCTTCTCATAATCCACTCCTCAAAATCCTTTGCTTCGTATGGAATCCTCAAAATGCCTTCGTTACAAAAACCATATTCTTCAGCTGATTTACACAGCATCTCCGAGAAATCTGCGTCACGTAGGGTTGTTGTATGCACGATAAACCGCCTTGTATCATCGTTCAGCCCTACACATACCGGAACATAACCTTTCGGAGTCAATTGAGGAACCCCGAATCGCTTAATCCTTCGAGCTCCGATCAACCTGTTCAGCTTACTAGCTCCTACTCCCATGATCATAAACCTTCCAAATCTTGATCGATCTTCTATGAAAGCGTCCGTCGACCAATATATACTATAAAGATACCGTATTTCTTGTCCTCCTAACCCATTGTCGTCTCGTCATCATAGTGAAAGCGATTTCTTAAATTTATTGAACGAAATTGTCTTAGGTGAAAGGCAACATACCGTGACCACAAGGTTATACATAGTCAAATTAATTAAATTAATCAACCACCACCCTTAATCTACAATAGTTCCTGTCAATTGAGTACAATAATTTGTCGATAATCTTGGGATTAAGTTGTTGTCTGATCAAAGGTTTATACATCTTACCTACGACCGTCCATCTATAACTCTCAAACTGTCCTAAAATGTTTGCCAATGTATTTGTTGACAAGGTAAAGAACATTGGGTTGCTATTTCATTGTTCTTGTATCTATAACATATTAATTCTCCTAAAGTATATTCTAAATTTCTGCTAAAAGCCAAAAGGTACAATTCTTGTACTTAAATGGACTTTTTCTTAACACATATAAGTGTAATTATTTACTCAAATTTTAGTTTATGTATTATTAACTTTGATTTGCCACCTTGGCAAGGGCAATTTTCTTTTTTGTTATTAAGATTGTTAGAAATTGAACTATAATTACTGAAATTAAAATTTTAATATTTTATCAACAGATCACATGATTATTGATTTGATAATAAAAATTTTAAATGCGCATTACTAAATGACTAATTGTAAATAAATAAGAAGCAAAGATGCATAAATTTTGATAAATTATAAATGGCGTGTAAATCACATCCGCAATGTTTTAATGTGATCATTAAAATTGTTAATTAAAAACGACTTTCATACTTTATGGTAAAGCAAATATCTTATAATAAAAAACAAAGGTATGAATTTTGATCCAAAAATTTTGGGGAAGAATAAAAGAGAGAAGAAAATTTTATTGGTTGTACTCAACATCCCTATTAATATTGCGCCATGCTATATTGACCTTTCAAACAATTGTTAAAACTTCATTACATCATCTTAATAACAAATATAAATTTATTTTATTTTGTGATTTATTATGATAAAGACATATATAATATGTAAGCTTTAATTTTTTTTACTTTTCTTGTCACAATAGGCCCCAAAAAATTAATAACAATGGGTTTGATGATAAATAATAATTTTTATTTTATTCATCATATGTGTTTTTTAAAAATAAAAATTCTCTTTCCACTAACCCATAAAGAACAATGAAAAATCTTTATGCAATTGGGCCTTGAAATCCTCCCTAAGCCCATCAGTATCAAACATGAACAAAAGCCCAAATTAAAGGTCGGTTCTTCACCTAAATATTATGTAGTCGGCCCAAACATAGTCTTTGGAATCCCAAAGTGGCGGTCAACTGAAACGGACCTTTCATATTGTGCAGTGTGCAGTTAATCTATCAAAAGAATTTATTCGTAATGTATTTATTTTGTATTAGATATATATAATATAAAAATTACTTATATTAAAATTTATGTTAATATGTTAAAAATAAAATATATTTTTTATTAAATTTATATATAATTTTTATTAAAATTTTAAATTATATTTGTAGACACCCTAATTCATTTAGGATTTACGTTTGTTAATAAAAAAAATTAAAAAATTAAAAAAAATTAAGAAAATTGAGAAAAACGAAAAAAAGAAGAAGAAGTTGAATTTAGGTTGGAATCGAGTTGTATGGATTAAGCTAGAGATAAGGGTAAAGTTTAACAGAAATTAAAATTCCTAGTCAGATGGAGATTCTCTGACTTTGGATCCTATAATTAGAGACCCTAAGTAAGGCCAAAAGAACACATAAAAAGTATATGAAAGAGAAGAAAACATAACCAACAAGGGTTCTGGTGAGTTAGAAGCAATTTTAAGAATTTGTGGGAATTTTTCAAAATTTTTGGTTTTTTTTTTTTGAAAAATTCAGATTCCAGTGAATTTTTCGACGAACTTCAAGTTTTTCGACGACTTTTCAGGCGAAAAACCTATTTCTGGCTATAAAACTCAAAAATTGGCAGGAATTCCATTGGAGTTCTTCGCGGGTAGAGAGAGAAGGAGAAAAAACTGATGGGAAGAGAGAGGAAGGGGTGAAGCATCTGACAAAAAAACGAAAGTCTTTGCCTTTTATACTATCGCAAAACGATGTCGTTTTGGGCGTTAATAAACCCAGGATCTATGCATTTTGTCAAGATCCGACCCGACCCTAATGCTAACCCGTTTTTGACCTACGTCTGACCCGAGTGCCAGTCGACCTTGGAGCTAAGCCAAATCGAGCCACGTTTTCGAGCAGTATTTCTTCTTGAAGCAGAGCCGAATCTCAGCCGCTTGAGTCGAGCCGCCTTAAGGTTTTTTTTTCTATTTATTTATTTATTTATTTATTATTATTGTTCTTATTATTTCTAAATTAGAATTATTTGGTATTCTTTAATTTTTTATTTTTTATTTTTATTTTTATTTTTTTTCAATGATTTTCCTAAAATAAAATTCTCAAAAAAATATTTTTGAGAAAAAGTTGAAAGTATCAATTTTTCTTGAAAATAAAATTTTAAAAAAATATTTTTGAGGGAAAGTTGAAAGTATCAATTTTCCTTTAAAATAAAAAGGTTTAAAAAATATATTTTAAGGGAAAAGTTGAAAGTATCAATTTTCCTTAAAAAAAAATTTTAAAAAAGTATTTTGAGGAAAAGTTGAAAGTATCAATTTTTCTTAAAGTAAAATTTCTAAAATAAAATTTCCAAAAAAATACATTTTGAGAAAAAGTTAGAAGTATCAATTTTTTTCAAAAATAAAAATTATCAAGAAAAATTTTTAAGAAAAAGTTGAAAGTATCAATTTTTCTTGTACAAAACCAATGAGTTTTTTTTAAAATAAAAAAAAGATTTATATCAAAAATTGAATCATTATTCTTCTTTTTTATTTTTTTTCTTGAAAATTTTTAATGTTAAATAATCCGACGACAGAGCCTCTGTAAGAAAAACAGTAGTTTTCTTGTATACTCTTAAGGTGATGGGATTTTCTTAATTTTTTGCCAAAAGTATTGAAGTCAATTAAGAATAATTTCCAATAATTAATTATTTGGTAAATTTTTTAGGTTTAATGGATAACACAAAATCAAGCTGATACCATCCTTCAATCGATGTTGTAAGGGTATTATAACCTTTCTCATACGTAATCGTACTCTCGAACCATGTTCTAGTTAATAGACCCGAACCTATTCTTTTAGGAACCCTTAAACTTAGGTGTTCCTTGAAAAAATAGATTTTTTAGGTGACCAATCACACCTAAATAAATAAAAAAGATTGGTGACGACTCTTTAAGTTAATGTCTAGCGATAGATCTCTAAATCTATTTGTTATGACAGTTTGTGACTCTGCTAGAGACACTACTGAGAGTCAGGCCAGCGAATAAATTTATGTTATCCAAAAGCCTAATAAAATATAACCTTTTGTATAAATTTTTTATTCATTCATATTTATTAACTTTGTTAATTCTGTCATTCATATGCATAACATGAGCTCTATACCCAAGCTCCGTCCCTCTAAGAGGGAGTAAAGTACCTATTACTTTCGTGAGGTTCTAATGCCTTCGCAGTGGCTAGCGAAATACCCTCACTCAAATTGAACATTTTTCGCTTGTAACTTATAATGGGTGAGGATTTGGGTGCCTTACTAGTCTGTAATAGACAATAATGTAAGAAGCAATTTGGGAACCTTTAGACTTTAACCTTGAACCACATATAGTGAACCTTAAAAGTGCCTAACCTATAGATAGAGCTATCTCTTTTCCTTTAAAATTGACTAAAAACATAGGATTCATTCCTCTTATTATGTGTGACGTTTTAATTAATTAATTAATTTATTTATTTATTCCTCTTTATTTGATGTACTAACCTCTTCTCTTATTCATGTTTGCATGATCCATACTCATATCATAAAGTTACATAAAGACTATTTACTTGAAAAATGGTCTTCAACAACAAGTTTTTCATGGACTCCACAAAATGACTAGTTTACTCTTCGTCTGTATTAGCTCCTTATGAGTCACCTAACGAAGTGAAGGTCCAGTTAAAAAAATTCAACTAAAGATGAGGGATTGTTTACCAATCAATTATGCTTCTACCTTGTCTCAAGAGACATCTATCCTCCTCAAATAAAATAATCTAGAAGATTTGGTAGATATATGGAAAAGATGAGCCTATTAAGATAAGAGAAGTTTTGCCAGAGAGATGGGCACATAGCATACCTTCTTACAGTAATGTCGATAATCAACTAATTAGAGCTGCAGCGTAATTTTGGGATCCTGTATACAGGTGTTTCATCTTCAATGAAGTTGATATGACGTCAACCATTGAAGAATATTTGACTTTCTTGGGTTTGCACCTCAAGACTCCTAACAAGATATATGTAAAAAAACATAAGTCAAGATTTTGTAAAGATTTGGCCCATCTCATGGGGATAGACAAAGAGATTATAGATTTTCATACAAAGAAGAAACAAGAACATGTTTGCCTACCTTGAAAGTTCTTTTATGATTTTTTAGTGCAACATGTCGATGAAGAACAGGGGTTAGACGTATTTACCTTAGCCATATACAGAATGGTGATATTTTCAAAAGTTTTAGGTTATATTGAAATAACAGTGATTGACTTCTTTGAAAGTGTGATCAATGATTGTAACCTTTCAATTGTAATATTAGTAGAGACTGTCAGATCTTTAAGTTACTGTCACCAGAATGGAGGGCGTTTTATAGGCTATATACAGTTATTGTACTTATAGATGAAAAGTTACTTCGAGTGGAGAAAAAGTACTTTCTCAAAGCTTTATGTCCACAATCAAGCTCTGATAAAAAAATTCAGCATAAGTGGGTGGTCAGAACAAAAGTCTAAAAAAGAGCAGGTAGTTTTCTTGCAAAAATTGACAAGTATCGAAGTAAGATGGTTGGTCCTATGGATGAATCGTGAACCTATGCTATATCAATGTTGAGATAACACTGTGGTCCCACTTCTGGGTTTATGAAAGGTGATAAGTTATGCTTCACTCTAGTGATGAGGTAGTTTAAGGCAGAACAATTTATTCCCATGACGCATAAGCTTCGTCAATTAGATTTTTCTTACAGTGAGTCAAAAGCATTTCAGAGGATAAATAAGATGATTAAAGCATTAAAAAACCCATGTAGAGTAAGTCCTGGATCATTCACTGATAAAGTCACTCAGGGGTACTTGGTTTGAAGAGCAAGATGAAGACAGAAAATGGTATTCACTTATGAAAGCTTTC